TTTCCATACATTTGTTTACTGCATAAATGTCTTCTTTTGAGAAGTGTCTGTTCATATCCTTTGCCTACTTTTTGATGAGGTGTTTGTTTTTTTCTTGTACATTTGTTTAAGTTCCTTGTAGATTATGGGTATTAGGCCTTTATCAGATTGGTAGATTGCAAAAAATTTCTTTCATTCTGTAGGTTGCCTGTTTACTCTGATACTAGTTTCTTTTGCTGAGCAGAAGCTCTTTAGTTTAATTAGATCCCATTCATCAATTTTGGTTTTTGTGGAAATTGCTTCTGTTGTTCTAGTTATAAAGTCTTTGCCCATGCCTATGTCCTGAATGGTATTGCCTAGGTTTTCTTCTAGGGTTTTTATGGTTTGGGTTTTTACATTTAAGTCTTTAATCCATCTTAACTTAATTTTTGCATAAGGTGTAAGGTAGGGGTCCAATTTCAATTTTCTGCATATGGCTAGCCAATTTTTCCCAGCACCATTTGTTAAATAGGGAGTCCTTTTTTCATTGTTTGTTTTTGTCAGGTTTGTTGAAGGTTTGCACCAAATTAGTGGTCAAAAATCACAAGCGTTCCTATATAGAAACAATGTACAAGTAAAGAGCCAAATCATGAATGAACTCCCATTCACAGCTGCTACAAGGAGAATAAGATAACCTAGGAATACAACTTACAAGGGACATGAAGGACCTCTTCTAGCAAAACTACAAACCACTGCTCAAGGAAATAAGAGAAGATACCAACAAACGGGAAAATATTCCATGCTCATGGATAAGAAGAATCAATATAAAAAATGACCATACTGCCCAAAGTAATTTATAAATTTAGTGCCTTTCCAACCCTTGACTTTCTTCACAGAATAAGAAAAAATCTACCTTAAGTTTCATATGAAACCAAAAAAGAGCCCATACAGCCAAGACAATCCTAAGCAAAAAGAACAAAGATGGAGGCATCACGCTACCAGACTTCAAACTGAACTACAAGGCTACAGTAGCCTTACTTTTTCACTAGCCATTGTGGAGACTGAATAAGCTATCAAGTATGTAAATGTTTCTTATATCAGGAATCTCCAATATTTTCCTGAAGAATAATACTTGGTTATTTCCATAAAATGGTTGTGATGATTCAGAACCCAAGCACTGATCTGGATGCTGCTTCCCTGTTTCTGTCTTCACAAGAAGGGAAGCCCCAGGAGCAAAATGACACAGATCTCTGAAAGTCTTCACAATCCTGGTGGAATTTCCTGAAGTTATACACATAGCTTGACAATTTTCTTGACACAAAATTTGAGTCATGCTAAATAATTTGTCTGTAAGTATATGTGGGGTTATGTATAGACCAATTCAAGCAAGTAGTTCTTAGTAATAAGCATTAAGTAGTCATAACCTAACTAGAAAGCTTAATTTTAGGGTCACTGTAAGACAAACAGAGTAGTCTACATGAAATAAATGAAACCAGCATACATTATAAGATCCAGAGAGAGTTGAGCAACCATGAACAAACAGTTCCCTTTTTCCTTCAGCTAGCCGTGGATGAATCTCCGTCTTCCATTTTGTTGTTGTTGTTTTCAGGGTTTACATGTTTCTGATAACATGTGCTCATTTTCATGTGCTTTTATCATTATCCATTCTTGTGATGCTCATGTTTTCTTTCAGGTAATTATAATAATCAGCAATATTTTTTCTTTTCAAGAGAGACTGTGAAATAAACCTTAAAACCTATTAACACCAATACTTTACTTTCTCATATGGATTTACCCATTAACTTGCATAATCCACTAAACTAATCCACTAATCCACTAAAATAAGTCAAATCTCTTCAAATAACTTGTCTCTAGTCATCTTATTAGAAGCAAAAATAAATTTAGTTAGACAGCTTCTGGGTGGAAGAAAGGCTGGGAAAAGTAGAGGTGTTTACCTAAAGGGAAACAGGACAAAGAAGGTTTATGAGGAGGTGGGAGAAAGAGAATGAGAATCGAAGAAGAGGTAATAGAATATCGGTCTTTGCAGATAATCAGGAAGATGAAAGAGGGAGGCAGAAGGTTGGGAGGCAGACCAGGGACAAGGACAGGGAACACTGGGACTGTGGCCTATTGTGATTGAGGAGAGTTTATGGTTGGCTGACACTGGTGTTCCAAATAGAATGAGCCATAGATCGCTTCAAAGCTGCATCAGCAAACATCCCTCTTCAGCCACCTCCATATTGATGCAAGATAGAACTCCAAATGAGGGACAATATATAAACCAACATCTTTGGATTTCAAACAATCCTTTTGCTGTCTGATATTGAAAGTATATACATCTGGTTTCAATATAAAATATATCTGCACCCTATACACTTGTCAGAGAGCTTAACCTAGCCTATTGTGTTCAGTTTTATTGTATTTCATTTCAAGGTAATCTCAGGAATAAGTACGATATAAATTACCATAAATAACACAAACTTAAAACACAGACCCTCCCTCCTGCTCTAGGATTGGTGCACTATTAGATACCCTTGGATCAAAAAGAAAATATTCCTTATAGTTTCTTTGCTCTGCTTCAGAAGGCAAGAGACTGTTGTATATTTTAGATTTTCATCCATACTCTTCATTTAAAGTATAAAAGTATTGGCATGAAACAGTTTCAGCTCTGGAAAACATGTCTATATGGAACACCTCATTCCCCAGCAATGTTAGCTAAATGAAGTGCCGCTATAGGAAGCAATAATCTATAACATCAAAAAGAGTTAAACCCACCACATTTCATCACACTTTCCCTGGCATTCCAGAAGACCTCCTTGTTCTGCCTTCTTTACCACTGCTGCAAGAACTAAATCAAATATCCAGAGCTGCCCCTGACAATTGAATTGATAACATTTTGATTTTTGAATTTCCATTAGAAATAATACATGGCTACATGGCAAGGGAAAAGAAAGCAATAATGTGAAAAGCCTAGACACACTGTGACATTATCATTTTTATATAAATGTACTTACTTTTAAAATAGATAGTAATGAGTCATTAGAGGAAAGATATTGTATCTTTGTATTACAGTGCTACCGAGCTTAATGCTGAATGTCTTTTCATCAGCCACAGAAAGAAAGGGAAAGGGTAGGGCTGCCCTTCATTGACCTCTCAGCCATTATGCAGGACTACAGCCACCATGCAAATATTTAATCAGTCCCTAAAATTGTCAGCAAGAGGCAGTTAGAGGCAGCATTCTTCATTTATTACAGGCACTGCTGTAACAGTGCTCAAGAAAGTTAGAGGGGCATACTAGACAGCTTCAGCTAGACAACTGAGAATTCTTACTCCATGAGCAAAATGTGTCCAACAAAATCAAGACATAAGGGTCTTGAAGACCATTTTGAGAAAACATAAAATGAAGCTAAATGGTGGGCACACAGTCTTCAAATAAAAGGTTACCTTTGATCCAGGAAGGGAGAAAATATTGATCCCAAATGATCAGGGAAGTCAATTTTTAACCCTATAGTATTTAGATGACAACTTCCAGAAAATTTTAATCTGAATTTCAGCAAAACTAACACTGATGGAATACTGAATTTGTATGAGAATGAAACTAATCTCAAAGATAATTATGTTTAAAAAACATTTGAGAGAGAAATTTTCACATTTGGCTATAGAGGGAAAAGATTCATGTTGACAAGTCAAATAAAAAGGAAGATGGGAAACAGTCATTCAGGGAGAACCAGGGCCATGGTCTCTGAGCCAGCTGGCCAACAGAGCAGGCAGTGCCCCATGGGCCTGACTTCCTAAGGTCATCAGATATTAAGGGTCTCAAATAACTAATTGGGAAGCCAGCCAGCCCCGATCAGTCCACATCTAAACATAGGCATCCCATCCAAGGTAGACTCCCAGAAGATGCTCCAGAAAGGACCAAAGATGGCTTCTAAAGAGCTTTTGCTGCCCAACTGGTTCTAAATGTTATTTTTTCTGGTGCTGATGTAGCAAGGCTCCCTAACAGCACCTTCTCAATGGTTTTACCATACTGCCCAGGACACCTCCTTCAGACAAACATGGAAAACGTGAGGGTACTCCAAATAATTACAGAGGCTCTGTCCCCAGGGCCCCTCCTTATCATGACCATCTTGCAGGTGTGGACAACAGCACTGAATAACCCCTGTCAGGGAATGGAGGGGAAAGGCAGGGATGTACAAAAATGGAGTTTCACAACCCAGAGATCCCTGTTAATTATAGACCCATAAATTCAGACAAGTCACCTACAAATAAGGTCAGTGCCAGTTGATAACTGCTGCCCCAGAATAATTGTAAATAGCGCTTCCTTACTCTAAAATATCCCAGTTTGGGTTCTGTATTATTAATACATGGGCACTCTATGACATACGCCACTTACAAAAAATAATCATCTGACTGAATGATTATTTTTTTAAATGTTTGTAGAAATGCAATGTAGATAGCTAGAATGTAGCTGTTTTTAAACATTTGTTTGTAGAAACACAATGTAGATAGCTAGGTTCTGTTCAGTAAATAATCGGTTCTGATAAATTGGCAATGAAAGGTAGAGTATTATAGAAATGTTGATTCTTTAAAAATTGCTATCAAGATGTCTTCATTTTTCTGTGGGCAGTAGTGGCAGTGGCAGGATGGGTGATATGTGTGCGTGTGGAGGAAATTATTAATACCTCCCAAAAACCTTTAGGAGGTCTTTTAAGTAAAGACGTCATACAACGCAGTATTACTACAACTTGTTGTAATTGATTTAAAAGGATTAGCAAGCAATAATATAGACTTATTTGAAAAGTCTATGAGCAAAAGAATGGCCAGGGACATGAGCAAAGTAGGTAAATTTCTGAATGGCAGTCACATCAGCTCTTCTGTCTAGGAAGAATATAGACTGATCTGTGTGGGACAAAAAGCACTCACACAATGAAACCAGAACCCATTGGGGAAGTCAGGACACTACAAGGAGCTCAAAGTTTTGTTGTGTTTTTGTTCTTTAATCAAGGGAGTGGCAGCTAATTTGATGGAATATATTTTTTTTCCAGCTTAAAAGCATTTTATTAAGCATATTTCGATGTGGCTTCCTACCTTTTAAGAATAAAAAATGCCTTTTAATAAAAAAATCTATACTAAAGTCATTTTCCTTTGTGTAAGGAAATATGAATGAAATGTACATTCATATTTCAAAACAGCGTATTGTACTGCCAAAACTTTAAATATCTCAAGAGCACACCACATTTTAAACACATTATGTTCATGCAGCTATTTCAATATTCCTGGGAATGGTGGGCAATTAGCCTATCTATGGCTTAGGATCTGTTTCCATGCTTGCGTCCTGAGCTGCTTCTACCTCTGAGAGTTTTTCATCATTTTCCAATGTTTGCTGAAGTTCATGGATGGTACTAAGAAGAACGTGAAACTGTTTCCGTCTCAATTCCAGCTTATCTTCGACACTTTCTTTAATATGTGAAAGATGCTCTAATTCTTTTCCCAGAGCTTCTAGTTCCTTTAATGTCTCATGCCTGTCTGGATAATGCTGGATCACTTGTGCCAAAGCATCATATTCTTGGCGATTTTTTCGTATTCGTTTTGCTTGAAGAATTTGCTTTTTGCACTCAGCAATTTTTTCATGTGCTCCAGCAATGCTACATTCTATTTCCTTGTAAATTGTTTCATAATTTTCCATTTCTCTGAGATTCATATCATATACTAGTAAAGTTTTGCCCATTGAAAATTCACATTGAGACAGTGTGTTCAGCATACGCTGGTACTGGCTATATCCTTCCTGGGACCCAGAGTTGCACCATTTAATGAAACTCTTCACTAGCAGATTAATTCTCCGATCATCTCCAGCACCATCTCCATCAATGAGGAGACGCTTCCGTATGACTTCCTCGTCAGTCACGGCTCCCATGGCGTGCGCGGCGGCGGCGGCAGCGGCGGCGCAAGCTGAGGCGGCGGTTGGCGGCAGCGGAGGTCAAACTCCCACAATGCAGCCGGGTAAACAGCCGTGGAGGAGGAGGCGGCGGCGCCCGCATTCGCCCGCTCCGACGCCTGAGCCGCGCCGCCTTGATGGAATATTTTTGTGTTAGAACACTGTAGCAATAGAGAGAAACCTTAATTTCTTTAGTTCTTCACCAAGAACTTGCTTTGTTTTTGAGAGTGGGTTAAGCTAATTGTCCTGCCATATCAGTGTGAAATTATTAGAGGGATGTGTTAAGAGCCTGGAAGCAAAGTGTGAATACTGTCCCTGGACGGAGAGAAGTAGGATCCTGAGCTGCTTCAGGGTCTTGCTGGATCTCCTTAACATCAACTGTTCATTCTGAAAATCATAGTCAGCATGGAAACCACTTCATAACACTCGTTTTATTTCTCTTTTTTTGGTCTGTTGCTGAAAAATGCATGAAAATCTTGTAAACTATAACATAAGAGAGCCCCAAATCATGATGATTTTGTACATCTTCATTCAAGAGCTAAGAGTGAGCCCAGAAAAGGGCAGATCGAGAGTGGAAGGTGGGAGGCCCCATTTATTTTCTTGTACTGGCTCCAGCCTAAGTTGCCTTTTATCCACTTAGGCCCACACGATAAGTTCACTCTGGAAATCTCTTCAGTGTGGCTGTGTACAGATGTAATCGGACCTGCTCTGGGTCGTCCTAATTGTAAACACATTTCTCTCCCTCTGTGGCCATTCCTAAGCAGGCAGTGGTCAGAGCCTTGCCAGGGTTTTCTGGCATCTTCTTCCTGCTTTGTTTCCAAATCTGCCTTTTTTTCTGAGAAAAGACATATGAGAGATTGTAAACAGGGTAATTATACGGCAACATGATTTTCAATGCAGGCTTTCCTTGCAGATTATTTTGAATGTGTAGGGGTTTGTTTTGGTATGGTTTTTTTCCCTCTGCACCTGTGAATCAGGAAGATACAATGTTGTTTTAAAAGTACAGTATATGGATCCACTAGAAACCTCCTACGATGTTGTTCAAATTGTGAAAGATTATTGGGGGAAGCAGCAAACAAAAAAGAGAAAAGGGGGGAAGAGTAGGTGCACAGGTCTCCGGCATTCGGCTCCCATCACTGAGGGTGTGGGGTCTGTCCCCGCTCTCCATTCTAGAACAGCATGGAGAAGGAAGGAAAACTGTGCATAAGTACAGCTATGAGTTCAGAGTATTACTACAAAGCTGCCATTTCTGAAAGGATAGTGCTCTGGTTGGGGAGGTTGAATGTGATTCTTTGAAAGAACACATCCTTGTGCTACCCCTATGCTTCATTAAAATTTCCACGGCAGTTTGTAAAATCAGATGGCCCTGAATCTAAAGATAGGATGGGGTAATGTTAAACACATGCTCATCCTTCAAGTCACATGCATAGACACAGCACATTTATTTTTGGTACATAAAATCATTTAATTTGTGGCTGTTTAAGGTAAGGGGTACATCAGGGCCCACACTTTTGGCCACACAGGTTGCTTGGCACAGGTCCAAGTATGCAGACTATGGTGTGTAATTGGTGCCCCTGGAGCTCTACAGCAAGAAAGCCCTGAGACAGTACGGTTTCTCATTGACATTTTGTCTCCCATGCCTAGCATGCTTCCTCCAGTGACACTTACCAGGTAGTCAATCAATTTTGTTGGAAAAATTATGTGTACTTCCAGAAGATTGAACTTGTTAATAATCAAAGTATAGCGAGGTGTGGTGGCATGTGCCTCTTGTCTCAGCTACTAGGGATGCTGATGTGGGAGGATCCCTTAAGCCCAGGAGTTCAAGGCTGCAGTGAGCTTTGATTGTGCCCCTGTACTCCAGCCTGAGTGACAGAACAAGACAAAAGAAATAAATTAATTAAAATAAGAAAGAAAGATCAAAGTACCACTGTGAAACAAACTGTTGATTCATTCTCCCAACAGCTAGAGATGCAGGAATAAAGAAAGCTTAATCCTGCTCTCAGGAAGCTACAGTTTCATGGGAGGAACATTTACAGGAAGTATATGAACAGCACAGAGGGGTCACAGAAGGAAAGTCAGGAAAGCAAACTCTGCATTCTACAGTCCCAAAACAATGTCAATATCTGATCTGTGTCATTTCCGTCATTTTTAGTGGGAGAGGGGAACAAAGTATTGGAGCATAAGGATTACTCCAGATATATTACAATCTATTCTAGTTTTGAATAATGGAAACTACCTCTTATCTCTCCTTCAAATATAACACATATCCTTTCTGAAGAATTCTTCCTTCAGATATTGTGGAATGACCTCATGTAACAGTCAGGCAATCCTATGCTGATGCTTATTAGCTGTGTGACCTTGAAAACATTACTTATTATGGTTATTTCTTCCCTATAAAATGGGAATATTATATAGCAAATAACTATAAGTGTCATTCCTTCTCCTATATCTCCCACCTTTGCAACTCTTTGCAAGTTGAAGTCTTTGTAAGTAACCCACTTAACTTGGAAAATGATTAGTAACTTTAAGTGTGAGCAAATGCTGCAAGAATTCTTAGATGGCTACTGGTTTGCCTCTTACTCTTCTTACCTAAACAATAACACTACTATTTATCTTTCAAGATCTTCCTAAGGGAAAGAGGTAGAAGATAAGGAGTGAGACTCAAAACCTGGAATATCAATGGTATACCAGTATCTTTTCCAAATAAGAAGTATCTCCAAATGGGAAGAATACTGTCACCAGCAGTATTCTTTATGCACTCCATTCATAACATTAGTAAGGCAAATCTTTCACAGATTTTTAAAATTAAATATATTAAATGTTTACTTTTTCCATGACTCCTCTCATTATATCTTTACTTTAAAAGTTCTTGACTACTGTGTCTAATTTCCCTCTAGAGGCAATTAAAGATTTGCTCAAAAGAACATTTCAGGAAAGTATATTTGAAAGAAACACGTGAAAGATCGTCAGCAATCTATTAGTCCCACAGCTGGAGCCAGTAAGAAAACTAAGATCAATGACATTTTAGTTGATTTCCAAGATTCATTTACAACAATTCAGTTGAACTTACAACTTTCTTTCTAGAAAATTTTACTGATGGCTGCCAAATAAGAAATTCCATTTCTTAGTCTTATGGTTATGTTGTTAATTTTCATCAATATGCGCCCCCCATAAAACAGAGTAGGAAGAAAAATTAGAGCTTTATGTAATTAGACACTGGTTAATACACTGGCTCAGTAGCTTAGCTATGGCTAATTCTACAGTTAATTTTAGATTATCCATAACAGATAATGCATAAGGCAGTAATCATATAGCATCTATGGGGTGACATCTGCCTCACTAGGTAGTGAGAAGTAACAATTAATAAAATCATAACATACCAGGACATTTTTCTCACTACTGTATCCCCAGCATTGAGAAGAGCATTTAGTGCATTATAGATTTTCAATAAGTGTTTGTTGAGTGAATAAATAAATGATCACATGGATCTCTTTCTAGAAAACCACGGTCTAGGTGGGGAAACTGATGTGTATGCCATTAACTCAATGCTGCACTGCCCGTGGTGGCATCCTCAGGCCCTCATCATGATCTCCAGACTTTCTTTCAACCACCTTGTGAAGTTCTTTTTGTGATTACTGAATAAAATGGAAAGAGATTCAAAGTAACAGAAAGTCAGTTTCAATTTTTGGTTCCATTACTAGCTGTATGACTTTAGACAAATTATTTTCCATGTTTTATCTTTAGTGTTTGATGTATCAAATGGAGGTAATAATACATGCCATATAGGGCAGCTTGATGAGAAAAACACATCTATAGGAGAAGGAAAATTAAATGTCATTGTATAAAACCCCCAATATAAAACGTCCAGTCCAGAGCTGGGTGCAATGGTGCCCACCTATAGTCTCAGCCACTTGGGACGCTGAGGCAGAAGGATCTCTTGAGCCTAGGAGTTCAAGTCTAGCCTAAGCAACATAGTGAAACTCTATCTTAAAAACAACTACTCAGCTCAGGACTTGTTACATAGTAATCATTTAAGTAACTGAATTTCTTTTTGATTCCCTCTTCTTCTTCCAACCCAGCATCCTCCATCAAACTGCATCAGCCTTGCCTCTGCATTACTGTCCTGCTAATCACTCTAAACCAGTGGTTTCAGATCACCAGGCCCCAGCCCAGACCTATATAATTAGCATCTCCTGAGGATGTCTAGAAACCTATAGAAGGTGCATTCTCACCCCAGGTGATTCTGATAATAAGTTGTGCCTGGGAAGGTCTGCTGTCTATCAGTGGGACGTTCCTTATGGCAGTGGTTCTTATATTTTAGTGAGCATCAGAATCAGCTAGAGGGTTTGTTAAAACATAAATTGCTACTCCCACCCCCAGAGTTTCTGATTCACTAGGTGTATTAGTCCATTCTCACACTGCTAATAAAGACATACCAAAACTGAGTAATTTACAAAGGAAGAAGGTTTAATGTACTCACAGTTCCACATGGCTAAGGAGGCCTCACAATCATGGCAGAAAGTGAAGGAGAGGCAAAGACACGTCTTACATGGCAGCAGGCAAGAGGGCATGTGCAGGGGAACTCTCCCTTATAAAACTATCAGATCTTGTGAGACTTATTCACTATCATGAGAACAATATGGGAAAAACCCACTCCCACTATTCAATTACCTCTGACCAGGTCCCTCCCCTGGTACATGGGAATTATGGGAGCTATAATTCAAGATGAAATTTGGGTGAAGACAGACAAACAATATCAGTAGGTATGCAGTAAATCCTAAGAATCTGCATTTCTAACAAGTTTACAGGAGATGCTGATGCTGCTGGTCTAGACACCACAGTTTGAGGTCTTGCTTTAAGGTCTTGCACTTTAAAAGTGTGATGCACTTAAAAGTGTGATGCACTGACCAGCAATATCATTGGGGAGCACCTTAGAAATGCAGAACCTCATGCCCCATCCCAGATTTACATTAAAGTTTGAGAAACACAAATGTAAGGAAGAGCTTCACAAAGGAAGCTTTTAAAATTCAGATTCCTTGGCTTCATACACTTGAGATTGTGTATGGATAGAGTTCAGGAATCTGCATCTTAATAATCACCCCTACAACATTCAGATGCATGAAATTCCTGAGCCACACCCAGAAAAGCACTGCTTAGGAGATTTGCAACAGCAGTTTGTTAGCAACAGAATCAATGAAGGTGCTTGCTACTGAGTATGTGACTTAGAGCCTAGCCAGCCTTGCTAGCTGTCTTGCTATAGCAAAGGTCCTACCAACCAGGTAGACACATTGGACTTACTGTATTTATAAGTATCTGTCAGAGATTGTGTGTTTGTGCTTTCCAGTAATCTAATCATGACCTGTTAGAATAAGATAAGGATTGAAATGGATTCTTTTTGATGACAGATGCCTAATAGAAGAATGTCTAAAATCCTTACTTATACCCATTAGCCAAGGCTGTTTTGACTGTTATTTATAGAAATCCCTCTATCTAGCACACACACACAAAATGAAAAGGTGGGTTTTACTGAAATATATAAGGTATCTAACGAAATATAAGAGAAGTACAATTGGACACTGTTTTTGATTATCCAGAATTGAGGTTCTTTTCTTTGGCAGACTATTTTCCCAAATTGGCCACAACGATATTTTACATCCTACATACTCTTCCTAAACCTTCACATTCCCACACTGAGAGCTGGAATCTATGCCTCCCTGTCTTGAAACTATGTGGGCCTTTGTAAATGCCATAAGTAACAGGGTTATGGTGGAAGAGTGGTAAGAGACTTCTAAAGCTATGTTGTAAAAGGTGATATGGCTTCCATCTGGGTGACTGTCTTGAAATGTGATTTTTTGGAACCTTGAGTATCCATATAAGAAATCTGGCTGTCCTGAAGCTGTCTTGAAGCTGTCCTGCTGGAGAGACTACTTGGAAAGGCCATATGAAGACAGAAATGCCCAAGGAACCCCAAGAAACTGACATGTGATAAGGAAGCCATTAAGATGACTCCAAGGCTACCATCCAATAGCAGTTACATGAGAGACTCCCAAAGAGAACCACCTAGCTAATCCCAGAACTGTGAGAGATAATTATAACTGATTGATGTTGCTTTATACTGCTATGCAGCAATAGCAACTGGAATGCTTTCACTGTTGTCTAGAGCCCTGTAATTCTCCCCTCTGTTTCTCTCTGCATGTCTACTTCATTTTCCTCTTTCTATTCACAGATAAAGTTCATATATTTGTCTGTCTATGGAGATTATATAGCTGTTTGTCCACAGCATGTGCCCTGCAGAAGCTTTAATGTCAACAGGAATCATCTGGAAATTTTGCTAAAATTCAAAGTCTGATTCATTACTTTTGTGATGGGACCTGAGGGTCTGCACATTTAATAATTCCTGGATGATGTTCCTACTGGACTGTGGAACCCTAAATTAACCTTTTACCATTTGCTTTCTCTCCCTTCTTCCATATTATATCATTTGAAAACAAGTTGCAGACCTCGTGATAGCTTACCACTATGTTCTCCAGCATAACTCCCCCAAGAATAAGAACATTTTCTATACAATCAGAAATGTGTTATATATGCCAAACACTTAACTTATTTTAAAAAGCTTTATCTAAAACATAGTCCATATTTAAGTTTCTTCATTTATCTCAAAAGTATCTTTCAAAGCAGTTTTTCCTCCCTTTGATCCAAGATTCAATCAAGGAATAGGCATCTTTGATATCCTATAATCTAGAATATAGGATGCTAAATCTTTTCTTCAGATGTCTTTTAAGAGACTGATATTGTTGGAGAGTCCAGGCCACAACCTGGATTTGACTGCTTTCTCATGAACAAACTCTATACATTTTGTCAAGAATTGGTGATTTG